AAAGTTGACATCGGATTTGTACAAAAATGAATCCCACCATATGGCATGCCTAGATAAGGGGTGTGTTAAAATTCCAAGCATCTGCAATGAGTAGCTGCTAAGAAAACTGCGACGAAAATTTGTTATGGACAGACACACGAATACATAGACACACGGAAGCACAGACAGCTAGACACACAAGGGTAAAACAGTTTACCCCCTCTACTTCGGAGCGGGGGTATAATGATCTATTTATAAAAAAAGTCATAACGAAAACAAGATTCTATGTCGTAATTCATAAGAACATTTCGTCGCCCGCGTGGCGCAGTGGTTAGAGCGTCTGCTCTAGAGTCGCGAAGTAAGGAGGTGATCCTTACGTCGCGGGTTCGAATCCCACTTTGGGACGTGGAGGCCGGTCCTTCGGATGAGACCGTATAAACCGAGGTCCTGTGTCGCAGTAGGTGCTGGCACGAAAAAGATCCCTCACTGCTCAATGGCCGTAAGTGCCGAGTATAGGACAACATTTGCAGCTCTCCATCGGCAAATGGTGACGTCTCCATATGAGTGAAAAATTCTCGAGAGGGACGTTAAACAACATACAAACAAACAAAAATAAAAACATTTCAAGACAATTATGTATAAGAACATGGATTTACTGTTATATTTTTCTAATTATCAATAATCTATTAAGCATTGGCTTTTTTGGTACTTTGAGTATTTTCAGTAACAGCACCTTAACTATGCATCAGTTGATATTGTTTGAAATCCACTCGCAGCTTTTAGTGTAAAATGGCCACCATTTTTTTTTCTTTTATGCAATTAACATTGTATCAGTGTTTTGTAACTTAATTAACTGTATACATATAACTTATTCAATTTTTTAAAAGTTATTATTCATTTGGATGCATTTTCAAGAGAAATTCGTAAGTACTCCTCTTCTCTTTTGGGGATGCATCAAATGACATCTTTGGTTACATTAAATTCTTTTAATTTCTGGTAGGATGATCCCTATATAGCTTTTGAGTTTTGTTTGATGCCATTAATAAAGAAAGTTTTGTTTTAGATAAAATAGAGTGTAAGTATCAGATATATAAAAGCATAGATTTTCACATCATCTGGAATCTATTAGTTACAGGGTTCGACACTAACATTTTTAGGCTTTAGTCCGGCCGGACTAGTGCTTCTTTACTTTTACTAGTCCGCACGCGATTTTACGAGTCTTTTTAAAAAAAAAAATCAATGTTTTGTAAGGGTTATTTTAAAAATAAACATTACAATGTACTTTTTATACTTCTTTTAATAAACAAAGCATTAAATACGTGAAATGTTTTATTCCAAGATTCGTTGAAATCTCGCGATCAGGAACTACGATCTTATTCCCAATCTCGTTCGTGTTTTTGCTATACATTACATCTAAACGTCCGACATCTTTCTCTATGTGTCATACTAAATTATGATCGCTAATATGCTTAATTTCATACCAATCAGTCCTAAAATTAAGCACCGAATTGACTCGGAATTACCTAACTTCCCACCAAGAAGCTAGAATTAAGAAAGCTGAAAATACATGCGGGGCTTCCCAGTGAAAGTTGCCGAGAATCGAACATCGGTAATTTATTGATTTTTTTTTCCAGAAATTTTTATTAGTCTGACTAATTAGCCACAGATTTTATTTGTCCGAATGAAAATGTATTAGTCTGAGACTAACTGACTAACGATAATGTCGAATGGGTTAACAAGAGGCCCATGGGCCTTAACGGTCACCTGAGTACAGCAATTTAGAGGATCTATAAACTGAACAAGAGGCCCAAGGGCCTTAACGGTCACCTGAGTACAATACAACAATTAAGAGGATCCATAAACTGATAAATGAGGCTTTGTTGCCCAAAAGCAAGAAATATAGTATGATTAGCATCAACAAAATAATTGGTCTAGTATCTATCTGTCCCCCATTTATCACTATTACCATGCAGACTATTTAATGAAATGTCTATTTTTAACCCCATATTATTACTTCTCACATTGGCCTCTCTTGGCCTTTGAAGAACATTTAAAAAGATAAGTTATTTTTTTTCTCAATTTTATTCATCTATTATTTCCAAGTCTACCTGATCATTAAAACTGTGAAAGTACTTTTTGTATTTTACAATAAATATTGTTGCATAATTCTCGTATTCTATTAATCTTTCAAGTACATTGTTTACAGTGATTAATTATCAAAGTTGAATGGCAAAGTGGAATAACTTTGCTCAGCAGAATACAAGTTAATAGAGCACTGGCCAGGACCAGAACACTTGACTAAATGGTCCAGGTGTTCAAAATTCTGGTAAAAATACTTTTGCTTATTAAAACTTCTACTCTGTTTGCCTCGAATATGCACAGAAGCATAGAAGATTTTCAAAGAAATGCATTTTCACTATATTATTAAATAAAGCCCCACCCTTACACCAGAACATCTGACCCAGGGGACATGAAATCACAATTCTGGAAGAAGCACCCTGGCTTTATAACCAGTAGTAGAAAAATAATATTTTGAAAGAAATTATGCATTTTCAATATATAATCAATAGAGTCCCCCCCCCCTTCACCTAACCCCTGCCCCAGGGGCCATGAATTTGGAAGAGGCATTCCTCTTCATCATTACCATGCACTTTCTTTGTTTGAATAATATCAAGGAGTAGAGAAGAAGATTATGAAAGAATTTATGCATTTTCCCTATATAATCAATAGAGCCCCGCCTTAACACCAGAACCCTTGACCCAGGGGTCATGAAGTTCATAATTTTGGAAGAGGCAACCATGCTCATCATAACTCATCGTCACTATGCACTTAGTTTATTTAATACCCAGAAACATAGAAGAAGATTTTCAAAGAATTAATGCAATTTTACTATATATTCAATAGAGCCCCATCCTAACACTTAAACCCCTGACCCAGGAGCCATAAAATTAACAATTTCTGAAAAGGCCGCCATGCTTATCATAACTATTTTCTTATTTAGTTTATTTAATACCCAGGAGCAGAGAAGATTTTCAAGGAATTAATGCATTTTACTATATAATCAATAGAGCTCTGCCCTAACACCAGAACCCCTGAACCTGGGACCATGAATTTCACAATTTTGGAAGAGGCACTCTTGGTCAATATAACTACGTACTTAGTTACTTTATTTAATACCCAAGAGCAAAGAAGAAGATTTTCAAGGAATTAATGCAATATTACTATATAATCAATAGAGCCCAGCCCTTACACCTGAACCCCTGACCCAGGAGCCATAAAATTCACAATTTTGGAAGAGGCACTCTTACTCATCATAACTATATTCTTAGTTATTTTATTTAATATCCAGGAGCCGAGAAGAAGATTTTCAAAGAATTAATGCATTTTTACTATATAATCAATAGAGCCCCATCCTAACACCAGAACCGCTGACCCAGGGGCCATGAAATTCACAATTTTGGAAGAAGCACTCTTGCTCATCATAACTATGTGCTTAGTTACTTTATTTAATACCCAGGAGCAGAGAAGAAGATTTTCAAGGAATTGATGCATTTTCACTATATAATCAATAGAGCCCCACCCTAACACCAGAACACCTGACCCTGGGGCCATGAATTTCACAATTTTGGAAGAGGAAATATCTTGCTCATTATAACTATGTACTAAGTTATTTAATTTAATACCCAGGAGCATAGAAGAAGATTTTCAAAGAATTAATCCATTTTCACTATATAGTCAATAGAGCCCTGCCCTAACACCAGAGCCCTTGACCCTGTGGCCATGAAATTCACAATTTTGGAAGATGCACTCTTGCACATCATTACTTTATACTTAGTTACTTTATTTAATACCTAGGAGCAGAGAAGAAGATTTTCAAAGAAATAATGCACTTTCACTATATAATCTATATAGTCCCACCCTAACACCAGAACCCCTGACCCCGGGGCCATGAATTTCACAATTTTCATAGAGAACTCAATGCTTATTACATTCATGCTAATAATTTGACTTCTTGATGTTCATAAGTAAAGAAGAAGATTTTTAAAGATTGCATTAATTTTGATGGTTTTAGCCCCACCCCTCAGGCCCCAGGTGGGCAGAGACCATGAATTTCAAAATTTTTGTTCCCCCTCACCCATAGATGCTATATGCCAAATTTGGATGAAATTGGTTCAGTGGTTCCAGAGAAGAAGCTAAAATGGTTCAAAAATTTACGACCGATGGACGACGAACGAAGACAAGACAAAAACGGATAGCAATAGGTTACCCGAGTGACTCAGGTGACCTAACAAGAAATGTATAGCTAAGTTAAACAATTATTTAAGTGATAACTACTTTTTCCTCCAGGTAAATCAATTTCTATCATAGAGTCCTAAAAATTTTACCATTATTCTGATTAACCTCAGTATCACGAATCTGCATCAGTTGAGAAATTCCAGACTTCTGTAAAATACTATAAAAATCCAACATGTCTATATCCAATTCATTCATACATCTTTCAAATAAAGCAGAGTCCAGTTACTCAATCAAAACATCTGTATCCGATTTTCTTTTGGCGAACAAACCACTAACATAATCCTCCAAGTCAAGATATGTTCATGAGAATCATAAACATATGCATAAACTTTGAATTATACAAATCATTTTCTAAAGCATCAGAAAGTCAGTGCCTGACTTAAAAATGGTTATCAACTGTACAAATCTTGATATACAAGTAATTCCAGAAACTGGGACATGGTTCAACAGTGAAGTGAATTCAGAAGAATTCATTCCATCGAACTATAAGGTACACAGTCGGGATTGTAAAGAAGACACGCACGGGGGCATACTCATTGCAATCAAGCAATCCATAGTTACCAGGTTGTTCTATTGCTTTAGTTGGAAAATCCTGCGAGTAAACCAGTGCAAAGGTGAAACTCAACAGCAGGAAGTCAGCCTTAATATCAGCTGCCTGCAGACCTCCAAACAGGACCCATCAGGATTATACCTAAGCCATTATCAATGTCATCTCATCCATACGTTCAAATAATAAATCTTTCTATTTCCTCTTTGGTGCAGATTTCAGTCTCTTGGACATTGATTGGAAAACAGGAACTACTATCAGCCTTAATGTTCTGAGACAGGTGAAGGAAGTATACCTGAACAAACAATATGAAGTAGACATAGAACAGGTGATCTGCTTCCTTGCTAGAGGTTCCGGGACACTAAACCTCTTCTTTTCATCCGATCCTTCAATCATTGACAAATGTAAAGTTCTCTATATGTTAGAAAAAGTCACCATGAAAAAGTAATGATAGATCATTCTCTTGAAACATTCTATGAACACACACATAAATATTATCATTGGTAAATACCTATATAAACACACTATGTAAACACGTAGATATGGCTGTTGGTAACATCATGGACAAAACCTAATCTGAGACAGTGAATGACATCTAGTCTTAATTTAAAGGCTTAATTACTACCACCGTGGACGTTAGACAATCACATTCCATCCAAGTTTAGCAGAAACCATCATTCCAATCCCTGGACAACCACAAAAGTGAGACGCCTACTGCAGATGCACCAGAAAGCCTTGTACATGACACACAACAGTTCTAAGGAGCAAGCCAGATACCGTCACATGAAGGCAACAGCCCAGTGCGAAATAATTAGAGCCCATGATGAATAGATAGACGAAAGGATGTTTGAGGAACTACAGAAAAACAGCAAGCATTTCCGACCATACCTAAAGAGAAAAGAAACCGACAGAACGCTCAAGGAGTTTCCCATCCAAAATCCTGATACTGAATCAACAAGTCCACTTAGTGTATACAAGATAAAACAAATATGCCAGACAAAAGCCCAAGCCCTTTCCCTGACATGCTTCCGATTCGTGTTAGCATCAATGAGGCCAGAAGCTTTTGAGGAACATATCAACCCCTCTACAGTTATGGGTTCAGATGTTTTTAAACATATATTTTAACTGTACTTGTCACCTGTGAGGTTTTATCCCAACAATAAACTTAGCATTTAAAAAAAATTCAAAATGAAGAAAAAAAATACCTCTTCTATTTTTCCCTCACTATGTGTACCAATGAGGAGAACAGGGGCCTTATCACTGCTGTATTGGTGAATGGATTTCATCCAGAATTCCAGATAATCTGAATTAAAAAAGTGCAATTTGCTTATTACTATATGTATTAGTCTTATATACTTCTTTATAGTGTTGTCAACGAGTACCCGGTTAACCGGATAAGCATCGAATGATGCAAGTATCGATTAGTAAAACTGTTACTCGGTTACTCGGATATGTAAAATTTTACATGTTAACATGTTTAAATCAGCAGGAAAAATGTAACTTTGTTTTAAAATTTCTTTAGTTTATTAACACTTATTTAACGATAGACTCTACCTAGTGTTTTACAAATACGATCAATTTGTTTTGATAAGTATTTCACAGTTTATCTAATTGGTGGCTTTCATTGCCATGTGGTATAAGTTTTGAAGGCTTGTGTTAATTATAATTACTTCAAACAAATCTGCGCTAGCCTGTAGTACAAGATTAAAGAGGACGCCGCCATATGCATCAAAATAATTTTAAATAAAATGAATGAATTTAAATCCGTTTCTTTGTTTGTTTATTCCTTTAGCCATATAGCTTATCAGATTACATACTCATTAGACAATTACAAAATACAAAATGGACATACATAAAATATTTACATACACTTGTTTTAACATAATATTATTTGTGTACAATATTTCCAACCAAATATTTAAAAAAAAATCCTTAGTTTACAGATGTGAATCTCTAAGTGCTTCTGCTTTCTGTAGAAATTTCCCTATATTATTTAGTTCACTAAGTAAGGTGTTTTAAAATATTCGAAATGGATTTAACATATACGGATGGGACACCAAATATGCTAAAATACCTAATATTAAAATTTAACTCTGAAACAAGCGATATATTAAAAACGACATCCTGCAAAACAGCAGACTATTATGGGATGTTCGAGAAGAAATATTAAGAAGATATTTAATACTGTGAATTTGTAATTAAGAATAAAGTTCATAAGCAGTTCATTTGTGTTTTATATATACCGGTATACAAAAGATAGATTTACATAGAAATGGCAACTACGTTGCATATTATACAAAAAGTATTTTAGATATAACACTGAATATATACCACGAAAAAGGATGATTTGAGATCTAAAGAAAAACCACCCGAGTAACTGGTTACTTGATTGGAAAAATAAGCGAGTAACCAGTTACTAACTAAACATCGTCCGATTTGACAACACAACTTCTTTAAGATCGTTTAGATTGATTGATTGTATGTTGTTTTACATTCCATTAGATAATTTTTCTTTCATATAGAGTCGTCACCATATAGTGGTGAAGGGCTTCAAATTTAGACCTATATGCAAGGAACTCAGGGTCATTTAGCAGTGAGGAAACTCTATCGTGCCTGATGGTTATAACAAAATGACCCCCTTCCCTGCACAATATTAATGTAATAAAATCAAACCATGTAACAAATTAATCTAAATTATAAACAATGAAATGTACAACAAGCTACGATAAAAAAAAACACCATCTTTCTCCAGATCTTGGATTCATGTAATATATCCTATGACTTTAATTTAATTATGTAGGACAAAGTTTCAAAACAAAAAAAAAATACTGTCACTATCAAAGTAAATTTCAACTCAATCGTCTAGTAACGAAGACAACATCAATCAACAAAATCCCATACATAAAATTATTGCCTTTGAACTTAGTTCAAGAGTATTCTAAGCTTTATTCAAATCAAAATTTTCAGAATAGTAGTATTTTGAAAGAAATGTTTCCTGACACATAGACGAACAAACATGGAGATGGATACTTTTCCATCACATAAGCCCATCTTAGTAGTCTTTTAATCATTAAATATTAATTCACACAATGAAAAGGCAACTATATTTTAAACTACAGTTTCATAAATATTTATATTTGAGTCCTTTATTCTCTTGTTTTGAATGTCTATATGAATTAAGTAGATGATTTCAAAATCACATACTGCATTTAATATGCTTTTGAAACTAGGCAACCAAACCCAAATCATGTAAGAGTAACAAACCTCTGTGTGTCCATCTTTCATAAATAGAGCCTTTTTGGCAACATACTTCTTCTCCGACCAGATCATCAAACTTTTTCTCCATATTGAGCACCAGAATGAAGAATGCCCGTGGACTCAGAAAAATCTGGTGTGAGGCATAATAAGCACATTGTCCCGCAAAGTCGACCATTGTGATTTTTTTCCCTGGATCATCTGAAATATCTTTGGAAACTCGTAATATTCCTGAAACGTCTGAGTTCTTCAGAACATTTTGACTTTCTTCAACCATTTCCTTTTCTTTTTCCACAAAAGCAGCAGCTTCATTTCCTTTAAGTGAGTCTGTTTCTGTATTCAAGTTCTCGTGTGACACAGCTCCATCACTAACGGATTCTTTATCAACGGCTTTACTGGTAGTATCTCTCTGATCCCTTAGTGGCTGTTTAATAGACAGTTTTTCCAGGTCACCAGATAAGATGGGATTTTCTGGAATATTCTTAACATGTAGACTTGTGTCATCAATTTTAACCTTAAAGCGTTGTTTTTGGTTTGATGAGTATACTGCAAAAGAAACAAGCTTAACAATAAATAATTTTTACAAGTAAAATCATGAAGTTTATTTTTGTGGTTTGAAACATGCCGTTTCAATTCCTCAGCTTAATTTTATTTTAGCAAGTGTAACGTTATTCCTCAGAATAAGAACTTCTGTAATCTTTCTTTCAAACATGGAAAGAGGGTATGCTTTTTAAATACCTAAATTTACTTAGCATTGCTAAATTGTCCCCACTCAAATTCACATATCTAGAGAAGTAGTGGGAGAAGTGTGTAAATTGCAGAGTTTTTAACTTTACATATTAAAGTAACAAATAATAGACCTTGGAATCCCCTAGAAAATGCAGATCCATACATACATACATATGAAGTTTAAGAAGTGAAGAAATCAGATCATCCCACCCACCCACCCCCACCCCACCATCCAAATGTGTTTTTCAAATTTGGCAGAGCACTTCTTTTTCGCTTGTAAACAAATTTCTAAGTTGGATTTTTTTCTTGAGTGGGGTGCATTCCTATGGAAAAACTAGGATCCCTGCGTGCCTGGCAACACAAAATGTGACAATAAAAAATGGTGGACTTAAAATACTTTTTGATTGATTGGTTGAGTATATTTGTTGCATTACGTCCCTTGCGAGAATTTTTCACTCACATGAGACGTCACCATATACTGTTGAACGGCAACACATTTAGACCTTTTCTCGGCACTCAGGGTCATTCAGCAGTGAGGGTTCTTTAGCGTGCTAACGCCTACAGTGACACCGTACCTCAGTTTTTAAGCCAAAAGACCTTTGACTTTCATTTCTAGTTCCAGGTGCTTGACAAAGGAACATTCTCTCCCTTTGTTAATGTCTTAGGTTTGACGTCGAGCCAGGAACGAGAATTGAAACCCCGGTACCTTTTAATCATGAAGGGAAAACCCTACACATAGGCTACCGTCAATGGTTATACTTTTTCAACAAAACTGGTGAACTATTCTAGCTCTATCATAAGTTCAAGTGCCCTAACAAGAGGCCCAAGGGCCTTGAATCGCTCTTCTGATAAACTGTACAACCTATCACTCCTTTTTGAAGCCTCTAAGTATACTGCATATTTAGATAAAGCCTTGAAATTCCAAAGGTAGGTCATCATGAGCTACATTTCAGAAGAAACACTCTGAGAACTCAAGATGATTCTAAGCCAATTAGTACCTGAGAGTAGGTCATGGTGACCTACTTATTACTTGTCATTCTCTGAGGACCCGAAATGCATCAACTAAATTTGATGATTCTAAGCCAATTAATACCTAAAATATTTTTTTTAAATTATAACCATAAAATTTCAAAAAGGAGATCACAGTGACCTACTTTTCAGATGACATACTTTGAGGACCCAAGATGCATCAACTGAAACGTTTGATGATTCTATGCCAAATAGTGCCCGAAAATATTATACAGCCATAAAATTCAAAAGTAGTTGAAGGTGACCTACTTTTCAGTTGTCATTTTTCAAGGACCCAAAATGCATCAATTTACAAAGTTTTACGATCATAGATGTCAAAATGTCCAAATTATGCCTCTAAAACGCTTTGAAATCGATTGCCCACAAAGTTCAAAAAGTAGGTCACTGTGACCTACATTTTAATATATATGTTTTATGGCCCAAAGATGCGTCATCTTACAAGATTTAATGATTCTTAACTTCTCAGTATTCGAATTAATGACCTTAATTGTTTTGAAAATGATTAGCCATAAAATTCAAAAGTAGGTGAAGGTGACTTACTTTTTAGTTGACGTGCTTCGAAAACCCAAGATACATCAACTGACAAAATTTGATGATCGTAGACCTTAAATTGTTCAAAATATGCCTCTTAATTATTTTGAAAAAGAATGGCCGCAAAATTTTTAAAAAGGTCATCGTGACCTACTTTTGAGTCAACATGATATGAGGTCCTTAGCTGCATCAACTGATAAGATTTCATGACTCTAGTCCTTATAGTAAGCATAATATCAATATTTTAATAAAATGTAATTTTGGTCAACTTTGAAGTGACCTTGAGACCACGCCTTTTGCCCGAGGGAGATGCCTTGAACAATTTTTAATTTTCAACATATTCTCATCCGTTTGTGTAAGTTTGGTGATAATCTGCCCACTGGCTCTTGAGAAGAAGATTTATTAGCAACCAGTACTTTTGTTTCTATTTTCCTAATTATCTCCCCTTGTTTAAGGGTCACAACCCTAGTTTCAGTATAAAAGCGAGCCCTAGGCCAATGATACCCTGTGACAAATTTGACAATAATTGGCCAAGGGGTTCTTGAGTTATGCCCCATATTCTAAAAAGTTTACGCATACCGCACAAATGGTCATAGCATTAGCTCTTTGAGCCTTTGGCTCAGAAGAGCTAAAAATCATTAACACACGATACCTCTGATTGTGTTGTCGGTTACATCAAAAATGTCAGACTGCACGTCAACGCCTCTGGTCGATGTTACATTCTTCAGAATTTCTTTCAGGTTGGTGCCTTTCAGTCTTTCTAATAAAGTTGACTTTCCACTACCCGCACACCCTATAATCATACCAGAGGCATGGTACATCGTAGTTTCCCCTTTCTTCAGATTTTCAATGAAATTCTTTGCTGACTCCTCTCCTCTCATTAAAATCTGCATTGGTACACCAACTATAATAAAATAATAAACTCTCACAAGATTGTACCGATACTAGTTTGAACTTCAAATTTAAAGGCAAAAAGGTGCATCTGCACACCTGTAATATTTTTTCCAATCATTTCTCTTTATTGAACAAGATGTGTTTGTGAAAAACTGATGCCCCCGTATGGCAGCTTATGGCGAAGGTTAAAGTTTCTCAAATGCAAGTCAAAATCCAGGCAAAAAGATAAAAAAAAATGTTTGTACCCAGAGAAAGGTCATGTCTTGAGGAATATACCTGTGAAATTTGAAAGCCCTAGCTGCAATTGTTCAAAAGTTATGGCGAAGGTTAGTTTTTTAAAAGTAAGTAAAACGTAAAGGTCAAGGTCAAAATTGTTGGTATCGTAAGGAAGGTCATGTCACAAGGATTACATATATGAAGTATGAAAGCCCTAGCACCAACCATTCAAAAGTTATGGCAAAGGTTAAAGTTTTTGCGAAAGTAGGTCAAACTCCTGGGTCAAGGTCAAAGTGGTTGGTATCCAAAGGAAGGTCTTGTCACAAGGATTACATATGTGAAGTCTGAAAGCCCTGGCACCAACCATTTTAAAAGTTATGGCCAAGGTTAAAGTTTTTCAAAATTAGGTCAAACTCCTATGTCAGGTCAAAGGGTCAATGTGGTTGATATCCAAAGGAAGGTGATGTCACAAGGATTACATATGTGAAGTATGAAAGCCCTAGCATCAACCATTCAAAAGTTATAGCCAAGGTTAAAGTTTTTCAAAAGTAGGTCAAACTCCTAGGTCAAGGTCAAAGGGTGAAAGAAGTTGATATCCAAAGGAAGGTCTCGTCACAAGGAATACACATGTGAAGTTTGAAACCCCAAGCACCAACTGTTCAAAAGTTATGGCCAAGGTTAAAGTTTTTCAAAAGTGGGTCAAATTCCAAGGTCAAAGTCAAAAGCTCAAATATGATGGTACCCAAAGAAAGGTCTTGTCACAAGGAATACACATTTGAAATATGAAAGTCATAGCTCCAACCAATCAAAAGTTATGGGCAAGGTAAAAGTTGACAACAGAGAAACAGACATACATGACAAAAACAATATACCCCCGGGATCTTTTGATCCAGGGGCATAAAAATAATGAAACAGAGACTAGCAATGTGTTTCAGTAATTTTAAGAAAATTAAGGATTTTCAATATTCAATTATTCAGCATTTTTTTTTCTTACTATAATATGGAGAATTGTAGCATGTATAGAATTCATTTAATATGTATCTTGGTAGAGTCTATGTATTTACTAAATAAGAATATATATATATATATATATATATATATATATATATATATATATATATATATATATATATATATATATATATATATATATATATATATATACATATATATATAGAAATAAACTGATGGACATGATGGAATAGCAGTATCCTGGAATAATTGTTACTACATGTATTTATTTGCTATCGTGCTTTATAAAATACGCCTAATTCTACCACTGTGACATTTACTGCCGATATCAAAGAAATGCTGCAGACATTATTCTCCAATAAATCACGAACGTCATCAAAAAATTATCAGATCAGAAACACACATCAAACATGTACAGTTGATATGAATATTTGACTTTAGATTCTAATACTTATTTAGACCATTCGTTGTGTCATCTTCCGCAGTGTAAACAGTGTATTGCTGAAAGCAGCTGATAAATGTCGGTTTTTATAGCTAAAGGGGCTGTTCCAAGGAGCTCCTCACAACATTACACTCCTTGATTTTACCGATGATGCATATAAAATAGACAACTGATTTTGTCATTTCCTTTTCATAAAAATTAATCAATAAATGTTATTTACAAATTTATGAACAATTCAAGGATATTTTTTAATCCAACTATAGCTAAAATTATCTGCATTCCATTTCATTCGATACACAGGTTAACAAACAAATTGGCCCTCTGCTATTAAATGGAACAGCCTAATCGCGACATGGTGATCTAATTCATTTCTCTATAGAAGAAACATCCTCATATTTTAAAGCTGTTAATAGACTAGAAATAAAGTTCTTGTTGTCGTGAATGATGCAGGATAACCTCCTTTGTCTCGAAATATTGTTTGAAATATAAAAGCCACAGCTAACGCCTCAGCTATTTCAAACAATATTTCTCGACCTCGGAGGTTATCCGGCAACATTCACGAAAACACAAACTTTATTTCTTAAGTAAGAATTCTGTGTGATTTACACACCAATAACTCACATCAAACTTAAAAACATTCCTTAAATAGAAGTTTGGATAAAAATATTCCAATCCATGATTACCCCAATCATTTGATGAGGATGTTTGAGCAAAATTTTGAGTGTGCTAATTTACATACATTTACAGTTTCTACCCAATCTTTACTTAGGGTAAGTTAATAAAAGAGACACATACGGTTATTAAATACAGCCTCATGTATTGATGTATCCTGCCATGTTGGGTGTTTGAAAATTTCCTCTCCAAGCTTTTCAATCAATAGTTTTGTTTGTTGTGGAGATAACCAGCAAAAGACTTCATTTTCTTTCTTTGGATAAACCCATGACCTGCAGTACTGGAATATGTTTTCTTTTTCTGCCCAGTTTAGAAAAAAATCCACAAATTTCGGATCTTTTGCAAATTGAACAAAATTTGTGTTTTTGAAAAATTGGCAAGAAAATGCGACTTCAGAGCCATCCTGTTTGAGCATTGGTTTGTACTTCTTTAAGTTGCCAAGATTGGATGACTTCTTGATCTTCTTGAATTTGAAAACTTCAGCAACAGCATTATACTTCTTTATCCAGTGTTCTTCTTCCAGATTTATTTTGTATGAAGGGCAAAGAAGAAGGCACATCAAAACTGCATCTCCATCTACAAATATAGAGATACATATAAAAGCTAACTTTTTCAATATTAAGTATTCTGAGACTACAGCTGAAGCAATACATGCCCAAACAAATACTCTGATGTACATGTACATACTGTTCTGAAGAAGATGGGCGAATAAGCCGAAGAAAGTGCTCATGGTTCCAGAAACAAGAAAGTGAAAAATTAACTTTTAATTTTAACATTTTACCTAATTTGTTCAGTTAACCTTAATGTATATTTTGATACCTCTGTGATATACCATGAAATACACCAAAGAAAGAAAAAAAAGTGATCACTTCTTCACACTATAAAACACATATTCCATGGATTTTAGTGTGTCTTCACTACTTTTCTTAAATACTTTCGTTATCTCCATTATTTCGTTTCAAAGTAGGTGTACATGTAAGTATATCCCTTTTTTGGTTAACAAAATCATGGAGCAATGACCCACTTTACACAAAAAATCACTTTATTGACACAATATTTGATGTAAACTTTTCCAAGAAATAATTAAAGATTAAATTGTTCAAAGGTGTTATCACAAGATTTAAATGCCACTAGCTGTTATGAATTGTGTTGTGTAGTGGTAAAGTATCAGTCTCTGATTAAAAAAAAATAAATAAATAAATAAAAAAAATAAAAAAATAAAAAATAAATAAATAAATAAATAAGAGGCCCAAGGGCTTTAAAGGTCACCTGAGTACAACTGATAAATGAAGCTTTGTGGCCCAAAAGCAAGAAAAATAGTATGATTAGGATCAACAAAATAATTGATCTAAGTATCTATCTGTCCCCCATTTATCACTATTACCACGCAGACTAGTAGCAAAATATCTATTTTTAACCCCATATCATTACCTCTCACATTGCCTTCTCTTTGCCTTTGAAGAACATTTAAAAAGATAAGTTAACTTTCTCTCATTTTTATTCATCTATTTTTTCCAAGTCTACCTGATCATTAAAACTATGAAAGTACTTTTTGTATTATACAATACATGTAATTCTCTTATTCTATTAACCTTTCAAATATTTTATTTACAGTGATTAATTATCAAAGGTGGATTGCAAAGGGGAATAGCTTCGCTCAGTAGAATACAAATTAATAGAGCCCTTGGCAGGATCAGAACACTTGATCAAAATTCTGGTAAAAATATCCTTGCTTATTGAAACTTTTACTCTGTTTGCCTCCAATATGCCCAGGAGCAGAGAGGAATTTCAAAGAAATTATGCATTTTTAACACAGCCCTACATTAACACCAGAACCCATGACCCAGGCTCATGAAATTTACAGATTTGGAAGAGGTACCCTCATCATCATAACTATGCAATAAGTTGAATATTTTCAAATAAATCACATATTTTCACTATATTATCAATACAGCCCCCTTCCCCCGAGAAACACCAGAACCACTGGGGCCACAAGTTTTAAAGAAAATTGTAAGAAGCACCTTTGCACATCTTAACTATGCACTTTGTTTCTCTGCTCAAAACTCAGGAGATGAGAAGAAGATTTTCAAAGAATTAATACATTTTCATTATATTCAATAAAACCCCACCCTTACACCAGAACATCTGACCCAGGGGCCATAAAACTCACAATTCTCGAAGTAGCTTTGCTCATCATAACTTTACACTTGTTTCTTTGCTTTAATTTATACTCAGCAGTAGAAAAAATATTTTGAAAGAAATTATGCATTTTCACTATATAATCAAAAGTCCCCCTCAACCAGAACCCCGACCCTGGGGCCATGAATTTTAAAATTTTGGAAGAGGCATCCTTGCCTTATCATAATCATGCACTTCCTTTGTCTAAATAATACCCAGGAGCAGAGAGGAAGATTTTCAAAGAATGAATGCATTTTAACTATATAAATCAATAAAACCTCGGCCTAACACCAGAACCCTTGACCCTGGGGCCATGAAATTTACAATTTCTCAGGAGGCAGCCTTGCTCAATAAAACTATGTACTTAGTTAGTTTGTTTAATACCCAGGAGCAGAGAAGATTTTCAAAGAAATAATGCACTTTCACTATATGATCTATATAGCCCCGTCCTAGCACGAGAATCCATGATCCTGGGGCAATGAATTTCACAGTTTTGGTAGAGGGCTCAAGTCTTATTACAATCATGCCAACAGTTTGACTGCTTGATGTCCAAGAATAAAAAGAAGATTTTTAAAGATTGCATTAATAATGGTAGTTTCAAACTCAACCCTCGAGCCCCAGGAGGGGGGGCAGGGACCATGAAATTCACAATTTTTGTTCCCCTTCACCCATAGAGGCTATATGCAAAAATTGGTTGAAATTGGTGCAGTGGTTTCAGAGAAGAAGCTGAAAATGTTCAAATATTTATGTATGAAGTCAGTAAAAAAAAAATGGATAGCAAAAGGTCACCTGAGTGACTCAGGTGACATAAGCAAGAGGCCAATTGGCCAAGTCGCTCACCTGAGCACATTGGCTGGAAAAAGCAGAAATCAGTTTAGTATTGAAAAGATTAAATATCTGAGTGATCACAAATAAACCCTTCTCCCCAGGAAAGGGGGGCATGATTTATTCACACTTGAATCTACACTAACTGATGATTCTTTCATATTTCTTTGACAAATCATGGCTTAAGAAGTTTTTTTTCTATAGGTTTAATCTTCTATTGTGGCCCCGCCCTACCCCCATGGGGACATTTAAACAAACTTGAATTTACACCACCTGAGGATGCTTCCATATAAATATGACAAATCATGGCTTTGCTGTTCTTGAGAAGGAGATTTTAAAAAAAATTCCTATATATATATCTAATTTATGTAAAAATTTGTAAAAATTTGTTCACTTAGTGTGACCCCACCTAGTCTTGGGGTCATGATTTGAATAAACTTGAATCTACACTACCTGAGGATGCTTCCAATAAATATCATCAATAATGGCTCTGCTGTTCTTGAGGAGAAGATTTTTAAAGATTTTTACTACATATTTCTATGCAAAACTTTGTTCATTGTGACCCCACACTAGCCCTGGGGTCACGATTTGAACAAACTTGATTCTACACTACCTAAGCATGCCTCTATATAAATATCACTAATCATGGCTTTACAGTTGGTGAGAAGAGGATTTTTTAAAGATTTTACCTATGCTTTCCAATGTAAAACTTTGATTGCCCATCCCAAACCCCAATGGTCATGATTTGAACAAAATAGAATCTACATTATGTCTGGAAGCTTTCATATATGTTTCATCTTCTCCGGCCCTGTGGTTCTTGAGAAGGAGATTTTTAAATACTCCCACCCAATTTTCACTATTTCTTAGTTATCTCCCCTTGGAAGAGGGTGTTGCCCTTCATTTAAAGAAACTTAAATCCCCTTTACCTAAGATTACTCTGTGCCAAGTTTGGTTGAAATTGACCCAGTGATTCTGGAGAAGAAGATGAAAATGTGGAAAGTTTACGACAATGACAACAACGATGACAATGACAGACAACGGACAAATTTTATTTTGAAAAGCTCACTTGAGTCTTCGGCTCAGGTGAGCTAAAAATTAATACTCAGTATTTTTATTTCTTGTGTTCAAACCCCAAGGGAATGTTTGATTTAGTCAGAAACTGAACAAAATCTCTATATAGTATACTTAACAGGGATAAATGTTTTCCTTTTACATACTGAATGGTAAAGGTCATACTTACTAAAACTTATCTAGTTTTAATTATTGTGATTTAAGTAAATAGCTCATCCTCAGCAAAAATTGAATATTTTTCATAAACTTATCTTATAATTTTTATATCCTTTTTCCAAAAACGTGCCGGTAAATTAATCAGTAAGAAGTAATATCAAAACCTTTTATCATTGAGAGAGATAGATGCAAAATGGGACTACTGAAAGCACTGTATACGCCAAAGGTCAATGAAAGGTCATGAGATCTGTAAATCTTGCACTTTATGAAAGGTTTATTTACATGCTGTATCTCATATTTCTAAAGTAAGGGGTAGCTTTTGTCAACTTTTTTCAAAAGTAGAATTCTGCATTGTTACAAACCTTTTCTCTTTTGAATTTCTCTAAACATTTTCTCTACATCTCTAACATCATGTTTTTTATGATCACTAGATGTCGTGGTACATTTCTCACACAAGGTAACCTCACAAGGGATACAGAACTGGGATAATGGAACTCTGGGATGTTTCTTACACTCCAGGTTCTCCAGAGGGAGACCTATTGAAAAGAAAACATAAAATACATAACATACATGATATACATATAAAGATATCTGTTTAACCTTCTATCTCTCTTATTAACTTCATATTAGAAAAACATAGGTAATTAAAGATAACGAAGCTCACCTCGACGAATAAATAAGGCAAATTTTACATCATTTTTTTTAGTTAGTGTACATCCCATGATCAATATCCATGCAAGTTTGGTTTAAGTAGGACTTACAGTTACTTGGAAATAGACCTATAGTTATAGAATTAGACTTATAGTTACTTGGAAAGAAAATTTTGATCAGTTCCAACATCCAAAGCAGGTCTGAAAGTCTTCATCCTTAGATGCACCATCTATGCAATTTTAATCACAACAGGCCATAATATAATATAGCTACTCCAAAAAAATTACCCTGGTCACTCATCTGGAAAATGTAGGTCAGATTCAGAATCCAAAGCAAGTCTGGAAATTTCCATCACTAGATACATCATCCATGCTAATTTGGTTAAAATATGTCTAAAATTCACTACAGTGGAAA